TGAAGTTTTGCTAGGAAGATTGTGACCCCGAGCTGGACCTCGGCTAGTAAAAATCAAGGACCAAAAGGTATGAAATTCAGTGGAGTGAGAGGCTTGGGAATGCTTTGGAAATTGCACTTTTTAAAAAGACCAGTTTGTTACTAGCCTAAACAACCAAACCACACCAAACCCTTGCAGTCTGTCCTCAGGTGATTAATTTCTAGAAAGTTCCCTTTATTAGGTCTGGTGATTATAAAACAATTTGTCTGAAAGTGATGATTTTAACTGTGCACTGACAGATTGGAATATGCACATGAAAGGATTTTAATTCTTTGAGCTGGTCGAAGTAGTGGCCTTTGAGAATTTGCTGCTTTGACTATGTGCCAAGGGCAGGAATAGTTTAAAATGCTTCAAGTAGCTTGCATTGGTTGCTTTAAGGGAAGACTAATAACGAGGTAGTTTGATGCTATATATTGGAAGATCTGAAAATGTACATCTCTTCTGTTACAGCAACTCCACATGGAGCAATTTATCCTAGAACAAAAATCAGCTAATGGCATAAAGATGCATATAGGAGGATGTTACGGCAATGATGATTATAGGTAAAAAACTGGAAATCACCTGCATGCTTATTAAAAGGGAACTGAATAGTGCTGAAACATGCATACAATGAAAAGTTAGGGTGCCATTAAAAGGATTATGTGGGTTTTTTTCCTTTGAACATAGAAAAAATGTTCTGTCTGTTGTTAAATGAAAAAAAAAATTATAAAACTAGATCTAGTGCAGTCCTTGTTTTGTCTAAAAAGAAAAAGTACACACTAGTGGCAGAAGACAATGACGGAAACTCACAACCACGGTTTCCGTGTTTTAGGAGTGGCCGTTGAAGGTAGCTTTGGTCTTTGTTCTGCTATTGCTCATCTGTACTTTAAGTCCTGCGGTAAATACGGCTTTCTTAAACAACCAGACTATGTTGAAAAAAATCGTACGAAGTTGCCAGGGCTTCGTGTGAAGTGTGAAGATACAGACCTTGTTTTTCTCGCAGCCCTCCACCCTGGGGACCTGAGGCACTGGCGGGAGACTCTAAAAGGCTGCACAGAGACGCGCCGAGAACAGCTGGGCTTATTGCAGAAGCTCGCTGCCCTCCCTCGATGGAGCACTAACATCTTCACCCCTAGAATGCATGGACTGTCTTGCTCTTGCTTTGTCCCCGTCCCACTCCTCTGTCCGCCCTCCCCGCTATCATTATGGTTACAGCCTTGGGAAGGCCCATCATGCTGACCCCGCAGACTCAGGACAGCGTCGCTTTCCTGCTGGTTTGATCACCCAGTTTGTGTTACTCTTCTCTTCCTCCCTCCCTGTCACTTATCAAAGCATCTCCTAGCTTATTACCCCTTGCATACTGATCAAGAGAGCTCAGAGGGGCAGCATTTTCTGGGTTGAGCTCCCTCATCCCTTCCAAACCCAAAAACCAGTGGTCTCCATCCTTGCTGCATCTTAGAATCACCTGGGGAAGCTTCTCACAAAATATCATGCCAGAGCCCTACTCCCAGAGATTGTGATGTATTTGATTCGCAGAAGAGAGTTTTAAACTCCTCCCCCGGGTGATTCTAATGAGCGGCCAGCACTGGGAAGTCCCGCCTTAGTCCCTGTGATCCACGTGGCACGGGTGGGTCTATCAGGAGCGGAGTCAGGTGAGGTACGCCTGCTTTCTCAGAGGAGCCCCACTGGCCTACGCTTTGTGCCCCCATGGCCCTAATTGCAGGCCCACTGCCTCAAATTAACCCTAGAGTTGAAAAGGTTGCTCTTGCTAAGGCTATTGCCAGAGTGGAAGGCTGAGTGCAGCAGGAAATTCCCTTGACTTGTTCCTGTCTTGAATGATGTGTACTTCCCCCCCTAAATGCACAGAGCTGCACCCTGTGGTGTCCCTCTCCTGCTGCCACTCAGAAGCATATCAGGGAAGCTGACAAGGATCCATCCTGCTCTCCCGGAGCGCTCACCGCACTGTCAGGTTGACCCAAGACTTCTTCCTCTCCTCAACTTCAGGGCCTCATCATCTCTTGCCTGGAGGAGTACAATCCTTCTTTTGTCTAAAAAGCCTCTGAACCAGTCTCCCTCCGATCCTTGCCCCACCCAATCCACTTCCCACTGCCACCGCTATCTGGATCCTTCCAGATGCTCTTCTCCCTGACTATGTCATTCCCCTGCATAAGAACCTTCAACAGCTCTTCACTGCCTGGCTTACAACACTGTCAGTAAGAAGAATCATTATGAAATTTTTTTTAATGGTTACATATTTTTTGAGTTCCTACTATGTGCCAGGCACTAAGCTAAGCATGTTACATGCACAGTCTCATTATTCAAAACATTTTCTTATGGAATTTCTCAAACCTACAGAAAAAGAAAAAACAGGCTCCTACTCTCTTCTCAATTCCAAAATCCAAAGAGCTCTGAAATACAGAAGTTTATCATATATTTGGTGCTAAACATATTTGGTAGCAAAACCTGACCCAAATAAGCACGAAATTATGTCTTTATTTAATCTACTTAGTGTGAATGTTCAAATGTATCATGGTAGAAATATAAATGTGTTTTATTATAAAGTACAGTTCAGACTCCCATTAGAGGTGTGATGTAACATACAGTGTGTGCACTTGAATTCCTTTCTAGTATCTGGAAACGTCTGAATTCAAAAACACAGGATGTTTAAATTCTATATACCTAAACAATGAGCACCTATGGATTCAAAAAATGTTAGCATTTAAGCATCTTTGCTTTTCCATCCATCCATAGATACAGATGATATATAGATGATACAAATATAGATATGATGCCAATATAGATATAAGCGATATAGATATGGACTAGATATAGATACTGTGGCAGCCCCACAAAAATACATCCACTTTAAACCCCTAGAACCTGAGAATGTTACCTTATATAGAAAAGAGACCTTTGCAGATTTAATTACGGATCTTAAGGTAAGGAGATTATCCTTAATTATCAGGTAGGTGCTAAATCCAATGACACACAGACAGAAGAGAGGAGGTGACGTGCAAATGGAGGCAGAGATTAGGGTGATGTGGCCACAAGCCAAGGAAAGCGGGGAGCATCAGAAGTGGAAGAGGCGAGCAAGGGTTCTCTTCTAGAGCCTCCATGTGGACTGTGGCTCTGCCAACATCTTGATTTCAGACTTCAGGCCTCCAGCACAGAGAGAGAATTCTGCTGTTTTACACTACCCAGTTGGTGGTGATTCATTGTGGCAGCCCCAGGAAATGAACACAGATTTAAAAGCTGATAGAGATATTGACATAGCTGTCCCACATAGGATGAACTATTTAAAAGTACTTCAGCCCTCATGATACTTCACTCCTCAGTCCTTTTGTGTATGTGTGTCATGTAACCCTGCCAGAGCCCTGTGAGACAGACAGAGATACATGTGTAAATATATGGAGTTACAGAGATACACTTTTTTAAACCAAATCATACAGCCATCACCACATGTCAGTTTTAAAACATTCCCTCATTCTACTATGGCCCCTGATGCACATTTCCTGATAGTTCCTGTCTGCAAGCAACCACTGATCTAATTTCTGTCCATAGCTTTGCCTTTCTGAATATTTCATATAAACAGACCCTACAATATGTGGTCTCTTCTGTCTGGCTTCTTTTTCTGAACATGATATTTTTTAGGTTTCATCCATGTCGTAGCATGTATCTATAGAGAGTTCCTGTTTAATGCTGACTAGTATTCCATTGTAAGGCATATCACATTTTGTCTATCCATTTATCAGCTGATGGACATTTAGATTGTTTCCAATTTTTGTCTAGCCCATCAAATTTTAACCTGGGGCTGGTGGATAGACTTCACAGCTCCTGCCAGCTCCTGGACGGGACATACAAAATGTGTGTTTTCTCTTTCTGCCCAGGGTAACAAGACAGAAAATGGTGCAAGATATACTTTTTGTGCCCATTACAGAGGGCAGGAAATGGAGCCACATAGAAAGGATGCCCAGATCCATTTCTTGCCACACCCAGAGTCAGGGTCCAAGCGAGAGGACTGCACCTGACTTAACACAGGGTGTTCAAGCAAGCATTCCTGCAAGAGAATTTGGGGCCGTCGGTATCCCCAGGAGGAGGAAGAGGCCAAGGACAGACAGCAGCCCCATGACTTTGAAAGGTAGAGGTTATCCCCAGGATTCTTGGCAGGGAAACTTTAGGAAACCAGGAAACTTGGCTTCCTAGCCATGCTCGAGCAGTGAGCACACCTCACTGATGGTGGGAGCTGCCCCCATCCTGAGGTCTGACGCTTGGACCTTCCTGCCGCATGGTGATGGCATCTGCCAGAGTCAGCCAATGAGATGGCGGGCTGGGAGGCTGCCTTCTCAGCAGGGATGCCTGTGTTTGTCTGAGCAAGATGACACAGGCAGATGTCACTAGAGGGTCAGCTGCACCAAGGCAGGAGCTGGCTGGGGAGCTAACGAGCTCATAAATTGGAGAGGAATTAGACTATCAGATGGCAAAGGCAGGACACAACACAGCCACCCACTGGAGTCTTCGCCATAACTCAGGGAAAGCATAATATTGTCCCCAGGAAGAGGTCATCTGAAGAGCAAATCAAATCAGATCCTCATTTAGACGGGGAATTTATGGCTCTATTAGCAAAGTGCCCCACTAGGCTGGGCCAGGGAGCTGGGAGAAGAGGCTGCCTTGTCTGTCTTTCAACCTGCAAAGAAGGCTTGGTGAAGAGACCCTTCTGGCACTTGCAAGGGGAAGGCAGTCTGTGAAGTGCCTCAGACATCCTGTTGGGGGCAGGAAGGAGAAGGCAGGGCAAGCAGATTCTGCCGGTCGCCTCCCAATATAAGCAGAGAAAAGAGTTGGTTTCTATAAACGAAATCTGAACAATTCCATTTAGGTCTGACATTTAAAAAAAAATTTTTTTAGCATCTTCTGTAGCACATCTTTCAGCTTAGCCACTGTAGTCAGCACCAAGATTCATTCAATGATAATAAATGAGCACTTACTATGTAGCAGGTGCCATGCCATGTACTGGACACAAGGTGTGAACAAAACAAGCACGATCCTCAGTCTCTTGGAGTTTACAGTCTCCTGGGGGCAGACAGACATTAGAAAGAAAGAATTCACAAATAAATGCATAGATTGTGATAAGTTTGGGCAAAGAACTTTAGATTGTTTCCAATTTTTGGAATCAGTACAGTGTGACTCCCAGAGACTTAGGGTGTTGGCTAGCTGATCACGGTGTAACTGGAAAAACAGATGGGCAGTCTACTAAACCCCTACATGATCTGTAGAAACAGAGTTTTATGTCAAGTGAATAGAAATCCAACTTGGACCATCCAAACAGAGAGTCACAGCCCATCAATCAATTCCCAGACTTGAGCCAGTTTCCTGATTCAGAAACCTTTGACTGTAAGGGAGGCAGGGTCCCCTTAAGGAAGGGCCATGCTACACTGCTAAAAATATATGCGTGACCACCTTCCAAAGGCCCCACCTCCTAAAACCACAGCATTGGGGGTTAAGATCTCAACATATCAACTGGGGGAAGGAACCCAAACATTCAGTCAGTAGCAATGTGTGTAGGGGGGTCTCATTGTTATTTTAGTTTGCATTATCCTGACAGATGATACCGAACATCTTTTCATCTGCTTATTTTTCATCTGTATATCTTCTCTGGGGAGGTATCTGTTCAAGTCTCTTGCCCATGTTTAAATTGGGTTGTTTGTTTTCTCATTGTTGAATTTGAAGAATTCTTTCTATATTTTGGGTGCCTTTATCAGATATGTATTTCACAATCATTTTCTCCAAGTTGATGGCTTGTTGATGCTCATTTTAGGTAGAAGCTAAGTTTACAAAAAGTGGGTCTATTTAAAGAAAAAATATTATGAAAATGTAGGAACTCCCTATGAAAAACTAAGTACAAATGGAAGCTGGGTATAGCAGAAATCTTGAAGGCAGTAAACAGATGAAAATAATTCAGGAAACACTTCTTTAGGCTGAAGTTTTTCTGTCTGTCTGTCTCTCTCACACACACACACATAGACACATCTCTTGTCACACAGAATGAGTCAAATTCCACCTCACAGAAATGGTCCTGTCTCAGCAGGTAACATTTCAGATGTGGTTTACAGAGCACAGGTGGAGTATGGATTATTATTCCAGCAGCTTGTACATCTGGGGAGTTCATTATTCCAAGTCTGGAAGAACCAATTTTTACCAAGGAGCACATGCAATACACACACACACACCATAAATTTCAAACCCACTTCCAGGTGGAAAGTAAGGAAACTGGGAGCTTCATTCAAAAATGCAATGATTTAGTTTAACTGAACTCTCACTCCTGCACAAAGCGTACTGCACAGGTCTCTGAGCTCCTGCGTTTTCATACCATCTTCCCCCTTATGAATTCACAGAGCCAAGTAAGGCACATTCCTTGGACTTCCAGAAATCCTGAGAGTTTCTGAATCACAGCAAGAGAAATGGCCTGAGCTACAGCTGGAGACAGATAGGAGGTGGGTGTATCCAGTGACCAGGGAGCAGGCAAGCGGCCTGACTGTGGAGGGGGCAGCGGATCGGGGGCCAGTGACATGAGGCAGGATCGGTTGTGTTGGGCCCTGAATGCCACATTAAGGATTTTGAGAATGAAGATCATCAAAGGGGTGATTCCAGGGATGACCTGGTAACATTTGACTTTCAGAATAAAAACAGAAGCAGGGAATGGGGCGGGGGGAGTTCTTTGCATGGGGTTTGTCACATAGGACAGATTTGCACAGCACTTTTAGTCACATAACAGTCTAACTGGAAAAGGAATTCCCTGAACACACATCTCCCTGCCCTCTGATCTGTGCTGGCTGAGGGAGGGGATACAAGGTGTGGAGAGATATTTTTATGCTGTTTCTCTCCTGCTGAAACTGGAGATCTTACCCCATTTGGTGCTGGGGACCCCTTTGGCAATCCTACAAGCCTCTCTCAGAATAATGTTTTCATACCTATCATAAAATACATAGGATTATGGAGAAACCCAATTATTTTGAAATGCGATTCCCAAACTATTTAAAAATTTTGATATAATAACATATGGGCTCCCTCATTAACATGTTAAAGAACATGATTTAGCAATGGGTTGAGTAACAATGGGGATTTCTAAGTACTGCTGAACATAAATGATATTTTGAAATAACTGTAACACCTAATGTGACGAGGAAATACGATCTATCAGTAACCAAGTTCCGGGCAGATAAACAGTACGGGGATAGCACCGGGCTCGGTCGGCCACCATACTGGTTTGCTGGGGCTGCCCCAATGAAGGATCGCACACTAAGCAGCGTGAACAATTGAAATTTTCTTTCTCTCCATTCGGGAGACTGTGAATCTGAGACCAAGGTTTTGGCTGGGCTTCCACTCAATGTGCTAGAAAGTCACCAACATGGTATAATAATCAACACCTACATCCCACAAACAGGAAGGAGAGGTGGGAAGTGTGTTTGTAAGAAAACAGGTGCAGACCAGAAATAAAGTCTTCAGCTCTGTTATGGGGTCTCGCTCTTTCCTCCCTGGCCTACAAAGCATCTCTCTCACTTCTTGTCCACCAACCAGCAGAAGGCAACTCAAGAGACCCGATTTTCTAACACCCAAGCTGCCATCCTCAGGAATAAGGGATGAGTGAATAAGGAAGAGGCATGCTAGGAATATCCAGATGAGGCCCTCAGGGAAGTGGGAAGATAGCCTGGGGATCTAAACTGCCCTCCACAGGTGCCACATCTGGTTTCCCCAGGATAAGAGGGAGGAGTGAGACCTCCACTGGCTTCTGTGCAACACAGTCTGCTTTTGACAGATGCCCCAGGACCCCCAGGGACTGCTTAAGCTGTGCTTGTCAGCTAACAACTTTCCCAAGCTTCAGCAGAGGAACAGAGCTTGGAAGATGAACTTTGCACAAAGCTGGTGGCTGACAGACCACTAAACAAACAGAAGACCCTCAAAGGAGATCCTGACTCACAGGCGGATCCCAGAGGCTTCGGGACACCTGGGACCACTCGACAAAGATCTGGCTTATTTATGCCAGGATACTTTTGAATCCCCCCTGCTCCGCATGCCCCGCGGCCTCTCTCCCACACAGACACTGCCTCACAGTCTGCAGGGCTCCAGGGGAAACTGAGGACGACAGATTGAGGTGTGTGTCCTTCTGAACGGATGATCCTTTCACACTGCTGCCTCCCCCCACCCACCACTAAACTGCCACTCCGAACACATCAGAAGGGTGGCCATGAATGACCCAGACTCCAGACCCCAAGGGGCACCATGGACAAAGCCCACCTTCTAAGTACTTAGAGGAGAGTAGGGAGGATTTGACATCTGCAGGTCACTGTTTCTAGGTGCAGGGGAGGCAGGAAAGGCCTGGTTTTTAAAAAGGGTGTGTCGCTTTTTAATGGCTGCAAGATAAGCAGTGTGCAGGTCAGCGTAGTAGAGAAAAATCAGTGTGGCCCATCTGTCAATGAGTGGCTTTCCTCTTTGGGGGATCCTACTTTCCATGTGACTGCTTTCTTGAAGGTGCCACTTTGTGCAGACACACACACACACACACTCACTCACTCAGAACCATTAGCAGTAAACTTCACTCTGGAGATTTATGCAGCTACTGGCAGACAGCAGGGGCTGTCCAGGAATTGAGGAGAGTAGACTGCAGGCTGACCCTGCCCCTCCCTGGGTCATCTCCTCCCACCCAGCGGTTGCCATAGCAAACTCTGCTCAGCAAAGTGGTAAAGGAAGAGAGAATTGGGCGTGGATCAGCTCTTTTCTGTAGCTGTGCAAGGTGCCCAGATAAAGAACAGGAAATAAGGGTGCCACAACCGAGGCGGCAGAAAATCTATTTCAGCCAGGAGCTCTTGGTCAAGGCATAAACCTCAGTCGGACTTTTCACAGACTTGGGGTTTCCTGGCAGTTTGTTTATATTCACTACATAAATGAGGCATTTGGACACAGTCAAGGATTGAATTGTGTCTCCCCCACCACCAAATTCATATGTTGAACTCTGATCCCCAGGACCTCAGAATGAGGCTGTATTTGAAGATGGGACCTTTAAAGAGGAGATTAAGGTAAAATGAGGTCATTAGAGTGGGTCCTAACCTGACTGGTGTCCTTTTAAGAGGAGATAAGGGTGCACACGGAGGGACTATGCAGGGACACAGCTCCCTACAAGCCAAGGAGAGAGGCCTCAGAGAAAGTGACCCCACCAACACCTCCATCTTGGATTTCTGCCCTCCATAATTGTGAGAAAATAAAATTCCACTGGTTAAGCCACTCAAGTCTGTGGTAATGTGTTCTGGAAGTCCTAGCAGACTCCTGCAGGTGCCCCACAATGAAGGGCATGAATACACCCTAGGAACTGTGCACTCAGTGGAGTCCCAGGCCAGGTGGCATCCAACTATCACCTGGGAATCTCCAGTCAATTTTGTAATTTCTAAATTTTAGGGTCAGGGAGTAAAGCCCCATTCCCCCACGCTAGTTTCAACTTTGAAACTCAGTGGGAATCTAATATTTGTCTTCGAGATGTGCACGCCCATCCTGAATCCTCCTCCACATACATCCCCCGAGACACCTCACATGCAGGGATAAAGGACCAGGGAAAGGAAAGGAGCCAGGCGGAAGCAGCCCTTGGTGCATATCACACTGAGCTGTCGTGGCTCTGACCACGTGACCTGTCCGTTCTCTCAGGAAACCTGGGAGACCCTAAGGGACAGCCGGGGTTGTCCGCATCATACAGATGAGAACCCTAAAGCTCTGATGAGAAATTAGAAATTTTCTTTCTCTCCAGGTGAAGACTTTGTTTTCTGGCCCCTGAACGTGGGCGTACTCGGGTGCTTACATAAATCTTTGGTGTGAAGGAGTGTGTGTGAATATGCCAAAAAAGTCACCTAACCAGTGTCTCCATGTCCAGCCTTGTCCCCTCCAGGCTTCCTTCCACATTGCATCCGGAGGACATTCTGTAGGTTGTATCTGCTCTTACCACTCCCATATTAAAGCCTCCCAGGGATCCACCTGCTCCAAGATAAGTCTGAAATGCCCGCATGACTTAGAAGGCCCTGAGACACCTG